CTTTGGGATAGGCCGTATGGCGCGTATCTCTGGCGGCGCCGTTCTGTTCGTCACGTGAAGTAAGTTTACTGTTTTAACTTCTTGTGGGAAATCCTTTTGTTTCCTGGTGCTCTGCTTGTGGGGTTCATCATCGTCCTCACTTGATGTGTCGAGCCCCTTGTGTTCGGCGTTGAGTTTGCCGGCTTGCTTGAAAACCCAACAATCTCTGTGGGTATGATTCGCAGGCTTCCCAGGAGTACTGTGTATTTGACATATCTTGTCCAAGATTTTGTTTAAGTTGGATAGCTCGTCCCTGTTATCCTTGAGGGGCGGCTTTCTCTGATTCTGCCGCGAGCTTTTGAATCCGGCATTGACCGCCGTGCTCTTTGGGCTGTTTCCCTTATTCCGGTGCTGGTCCTTGCTGCATCGGGGTTTTCCGTTTCCATCCCTAACTTCGGATGTACTTGGGTTGCTGGTGCTACATCTTGCCAACCAACTGTCCTCTCCTGCGCAAAAGCGGGTCATGAGGCTTGTTAATGCGGCCATTTTTCTTGGCTTTTCTTGGCCGAGGTGTCTGGCGAGCCATTCGTCTCGAACGTTATGCTTAAAAGCTGCTAGGGCTTCGGCGTCCGGACAGTCGACTATCTGATTCTTTTTAGTAAGAAATCTGTTCCAGAATTTCCGGGCTGACTCTCCGGGCTGTTCAGTTATGTGACTGAGATCGTCTGCATCCGGAGGGCGGACATAGGTCCCTTGAAAATTTGCCCGGAAAGCATCCTCGAGCTCTTCCCAACTTCCAATGGTGTTTTCGGGAAGGCTTTTCAGCCAATGCCGGGCTAGCCCTTTAAGCTTGAGGGGTAAGTATTTTATGGCGTGGAGGTCATCTTCTCTGGCCATGTGTATGTGCAGGATATAATCCTCGATCCAGACCCCAGGGTTTGTTGTTCCGTCGTACGCCTCTATGTTTACGGGCTTGAATCCCGCTAGAAATTCATGGTCCAGCACCTCATCGGTGAAACATAGGGGGTGTGCGGCACCCCTGTATTTGGGTGTGACGTGATGTTCGGATATTTATTTTGTTGCATTGCTTACTAGAGCTTGCTTTCTTGGCCCGTAGATAGATCTGGCTGGGCCGTCTTTTTGATGCGGATCCTTTGGTGGATCGCGTGCCGGCTTGTGTGTGGCGCCGCTTGCCGCTCCATGCTGGCCATGCGATCGTCTATCCGACCGGATGGCTTTCCTATTTTTTGACTGCGGGGGCTCTAAGGCCTCCTCGTCAAATTCAGGCAGTAGCTTTCGCTTTGGATAGCTTTTTGTGCGGCGACTGCCGCCATATTTGTCTGCGGTGTTGCGTACTTTGCTCCATCTGATTCTGAGTGCATCTTCCGCAGTTTTAAGCTTCCGCTTCTGTTTTTTCAGGCTATGCGCAGTGGCGACGAGCCTTTTGTGGAGGTTCTTCTGCTCCATGAGTTTATCCGGCGTAAGGTCGTCCGGACTGTTGTTTTCACCGGGGACGGGGTGTTCGGTTTGTTTACCCGAGTTGCCCTGTTCGGACGCTTGCTCGAAGGCATGTTCGTCGTCCGCCGGCTCGTCCTGCTCTATGGTTGGGTCTGTATGGCTGCTGGCTCTGTCGAGGCGGGGCTTGGAGCGGCGCTTACGTCGCCGCTTTGATTGCTTTTCCAGTGGACGATCCCTCGTTGCATCCCTGTGTTCCTCGTTGTCGCTTCCTTTGGGTGTGTCCACCATGTATACATCATGAGATGAGGTGGCTGTCCAGTGCCTTATAGGCGTTGGTTCATGTTTATCTCCTACATCGTCGTCCATACCATCGATGTCTTCGGAGTCGAAGTCGAGCACGTCGTTTAAATTATCGACAGTGGCTACGAAGTGGGTGGTGGGTGGGCATCGAATTTCTTCGTCGTCCACATCCCAATCCTACCGGTCATAGTCCGGCCAGGGCTCTCCTGACAAAGAGAGAGACCTGAGTGAATTCAGAATGTCGCCGAAGGGCGAGTGTTGAAAGATGTCTGCGGCAGTGAACTCCATGATCGGCGCCCAATCGGATTCGATCGGTAGGGGCGCGGAGGGCTCGGAGTCCGGAGAGGAGTCCAGCACCTTGGAGTCACGGGCTTCGCAGAGGACAAGGCTGGTGTTCGGCTTGATCGCCGTAGAGATTGCAGCCCCCGAGGCGGTGTCTAACCACCCATCCTTGATTGGTGTGATCGGCTCCGAGCTAGGGGTCAGAGCAGACACAGATGCGGCCTCCAGGGCACTGTTCGGCGGCAGAGCTAAATCATGCCCATCGTGATAGTGCGGCGCGCTCGGCCGTGGCTCGAATCCGTCGAAGGTCAAGTCTCCGCGGATGTCGGCCATGTAGTTCAAACTTCCAAATCTGACCTGATGGCCAGGGGCGTAGCTTTCGATCTGCTCCAGATGACCAAGCGAATTGGCCCGCAGTGCAAAGCCGCCGAATACGAAGATCTGTCCGGGGAGAAAAGTCTCACCCTGGATCGCATCGCTGTTGATGATCGGAGAAGCCATCGGGCCTAAAAGTGACGACACAGAGGAACTCTCAATGAAAGCACCAATGTCGGTGTCAAAACCGGCGGATCTCGGGTAGGGGGTCCCGAACTGTGCGTCTAGGCCGGATGGTAACAGGAGGCAGGGGACACGATGTTTTACCCAGGTTCGGGCCCTCTTGATGGAGGTAAAACCCTACGTCCTGCTTGATTAATATTGATGATATGGGTAGTACAAGAGTAGATCTACCACGAGATCGGAGAGGCTAAACCCTAGAAGCTAGCCTATGGTATGATTGTTGTTCGTCCTATGGACTAAAACCCTCCGGTTTATATAGACACCGGAGAGGGCTAGGGTTACACAGAATCGGTTACAATGGTAGGAGATCTACATATCCGTATCGCCAAGCTTGCCTTCCACGCCAAGGAAAGTCCCTTCCGGACACGGGACGAAGTCTTCAATCTTGTATCTTCATAGTCCAGGAGTCCGGCCGAAGGTATAGTCCGGCTATCCGGACACCCCCTAATCCAGGACTCCCTCACACTCCTTGCTAGAGTATAGACTAGAGATGAGACTAGATGCGATGCAATATCGAATTCGTCAGGCCGAAGAAGAAAGAAGTGCGCAAGCTCGAGATGTCAATAAAGAGAATCAATAACGAAAATATAGAGAAAATATTAATCCAACTAGTGGGAGCGGTATGGAAGTTGTATATCTATAAAGTGTCCAATTGTGATTCTTGTTTTCTTTGATTTCGTTCTCGTAGCGAAGAATTGGTGAATTATGTACTCCAATGTATCAAAATATCGTTCGATGAAATAAAGATGCAATAGAACTTGCTTCAGCGGCCGAAAATGAAATGCATATGAAAAAAATTACTATGTTATATTTAGGGAATCGGCTGGGTCCGGTCAAAACTTAATGTGGTAAATGTACTCCACTAAGGTTTACTCGGCCGGATCCTCTTCTAGTTTTTAGGGGATCAGCTAGAGTTGGCCTTATAGCCCAATCTCACGATTTGTCTTCAAAGTAGTCACTTTTTTTTTACAAAAAGGATTCGGATACACTATATTGTAGAAGTTCACTATAAATACAGAACTATTCAAACATAATACAAATTATATTGAAAGCTCTATATCGCCGGAAGATCACCACCGCTACCAAAACAAGCCGTGATGCACCATTGTTTCTACTCCGCTACCGGAGCCGGTCTAACCTTGTCAACGATATTGAACCGCATTTTTCTCAACCTTCAACCACTAGTATCTCTTCTATGATTTTGCTGGCTACACTGCGCAAATGGCACTCTCTATTTTTATGTTGAAGTGATTACACACTACAAGTCTACAACTTTACTCTTTTCTCATTTAATAAATGCCATATTCCCACTCTGAACGTGCTCATACGAATAAAATGCTCCTACGTGTGTTCATAGGATCGAATGTTTCTGCGTGTATGTAAATATTTGCATTATAGCACTCCTTAAACATACCCTATCTCTTTCTCCTCCAAGAAAGAAAGCTAGGGTTCGTGCCTCTCGCTGGCGCTGGCGTAGGTCTGCCTCCTCTTTGGTGGCCCTAGGGCCACGGAGGCGCGGTAGATTCTGGCAAGGGCCGGCGGGAGGGCTCCGTTTTTGGTCTTTTTTTTCAACCCTGTTAGGGTTTTTGTTTTGCTCAGGGAGACGAGACGGCGGCAGCTCCCTGAAGATGGAATAAAGGTCTTCCTGCCTAACCCCCGTTCTGGCGGTACGTCTAGCATTGTTGGTGGGCGTGTGGAGATGTGTCTCCGGCAGATCTATCTTTGGTGGATTTGCTCGGATCTCATCGTTGTTCGTCTATACGTTTGTGTGTCTTCGGTTTGGATTCTTCCAACCTACGTTATTCTTCATTGGCAGCGGTTGTTGGGATGCTGGTCCTATGAGACCTTAACACGACCACTTCCCGATTGTCTACTATAACAAGTTGTGCCCGACTTCGGCGATGGAGGGGCGATGACGGTGACGCGTCTTCGGCTCGCTTCAGTGCTTGTAGTCGTCGCTAGGTGGTCTACGGATCTGAATGTAATTTTTATTCTTGGTGTTGCCATGATTGAAGATAAATAGATTGGAGTTTTCCCGCAAGAAAAAGTAAATATTTGCATTTATACTCGTTTCTCAAAAACAAACTATGTGTTGTTCTATACGGCAATTTTAAGAACAGCTACTCGCATATATAGAACCATGGAAAAATTTCTGTAGTGTGAATCACAGGAAATGCTTCTTGCAACAACAGAAAAAAGTCATAGAAACTGCAACGCAGTTCTTCACAGATCAGTCACGAAACGAGGGCTATCACGATTGCTGGTCTAACCGTCTCACTGCGGTCATTGATTGGCCGGCTGGCTCACACGGAGTACTAGTAAAATTCATTGACCTACGACACGAGTAGTCATTTCAATCCCCCCGAAACCCTGAACCGCCGCTGCCGCCGCCGCCGCCGCCCCCGCAGCCAAGCCGAGCAGCCATGGAGGGATCCGCCGCCGCGGCGCCGCTCCGCACGCGCGTGTGCATCATCGGCAGCGGCCCGGCCGCGCACACGGCGGCCATCTACGCGGCCCGCGCGGAGCTCAAGCCCGTGCTCTTCGAGGGCTGGATGGCCAACGACATCGCCGCGGGGGGCCAGCTCACCACCACCACCGACGTCGAGAACTTCCCGGGCTTCCCCACCGGCATCATGGGCATCGACCTCATGGACAACTGCCGCGCCCAGTCCGCCCGCTTCGGCACCAACATCCTCTCCGAGACCGTCACCGAGGTCGACTTCTCCGCCCGCCCCTTCCGCGTCACCTCCGACTCCACCACCGTCCTCGCCGACACCGTCGTCGTCGCCACGGGCGCCGTCGCGCGCCGCCTCCACTTCCCCGGGTCCGAAACCTACTGGAACCGCGGCATCTCCGCCTGCGCCGTCTGCGACGGCGCCGCGCCCATCTTCCGGAACAAGCCCATCGCCGTCATCGGCGGCGGCGACTCTGCCATGGAGGAGGGAAACTTCCTCACCAAGTACGGATCCCAAGTGTACATCATCCACCGGCGCAACACCTTCCGCGCCTCCAAGATTATGCAGGCCAGGGCGCTCTCCAATCCTAAGATCCAGGTTGTCTGGGACTCCGAGGTCGTCGAGGCCTACGGCGGCGCAGGCGGTGGCCCATTAGCTGGCGTCAAGGTCAAGAACTTGGTGACTGGTGAGGTCTCTGACCTTAAGGTGTCCGGGCTCTTCTTCGCCATCGGGCATGAGCCGGCCACCAAGTTTCTCAATGGGCAGCTTGAGCTCCATGCCGATGGGTATGTGGCCACCAAGCCGGGCTCTACACATACCAGTGTGGAGGGGGTCTTTGCTGCTGGAGATGTGCAGGATAAGAAGTATCGTCAGGCCATTACTGCCGCTGGATCAGGTATTACTATAGCACTATGTGAATTGATTGTATAAGTGTTGCTAGTGATCAATTTGCATGCATATGGTAATCTATAATTAGTAACTATATATATTCATATGCTTAGCGATCAATTGCTTCTTTGAACTAGTCTTTATAGTGACAATAGAATGTGGTGTTTGAGCTTTGGAAAGAAACGAGTAGTTCGCTACATTCTGGGATGTGTTGGACTATTGGTGCCCAAACCTGCTGACAATTAGGGACAAGCAAGGGAAATGGGAATCAGTTTCCTTTTTTCATAAGAGTAACCTTGGTAGCAGGGCTCCATTACTTTACAGTAACAGAATAAACCATGGGTCTAACAGCGAAAAAAAAGCAGAAAATATGTACCAGGACGAATGAAAACTTACAGGTTTTGCCGCCTGCCTGGCTTATCAAACCAAGGTTCAAACTGCATGAACATCTATTACAACACCCATCAGGGCTGCAAAACATGGGTGCTCTTGCCACACCCTCAGGAGTTGCAGTTGAACTGCAGTCGGGCTTGATTCTGATTAGCCCCTGATCCTTCTCACGTTGCTTCAGCACATACCCCTGCAGGCGTGCTGCTCCAGCCAGCAAAGTCTCTCCTTCAGCTCCAGATTGTAAACATGCCCATTCTAGGACAGGGCACATGTAATATCATTTCAATAGGGTTTTCATTAGTTCCCCCTCAAAGCATGCCCTGTTCCGCAGGTTCTGCAGTGTCCATCACAAATGATCCGACTAGTCTCCAATCATAGCTGACCAGGGAATTATTGAACTGGGTGTAATTTCCCCGTCGTGCCATTTCGAAGCTCCCCATTGGGGATACAAGGGAACTATTCATGTAATTAGTTTCAGGTGCTTAAAACTTGTGGTAACAAACTAGGGTGTGCCCTCTATTTAGGTTAGAAGATCCCCTTTCAGGCTATACACTTGTGTCTCACTCTAAAATTCCTGAGAGGGACTGCAGAATGTTATGGTCATCTCACGGTATTAGCACTCAATCAATCAAGTTAACGCTGTTGTGTTAATATAGTAAGGTTTTGTTCCGAAAGTATTTGTTAGTCAGCCTAGGATTCTCAGGTTTGTGATGTAATTAAACTTTTGTAGCACTGGTAATGTATGCCCTGAATAATACCCATATACAGAAAGTTTTTCCTTAAAATATCATAGATGCTCCTTTGCTAAGTATTGGATCTGCCACCTGAGTTTTTGTGTAATCATATTTGTCACTGGAAACACATGTTACTAATGCTATGCATCACTTCCAATGGCCAATGGTGGGCAGAAAACCAGCACCCTTGCTGTGGAACTCATCTGTTTGGTACAGGGTTTCCTTGTCTAACTAGGAATTTGTGTTTTAGCCAGATTCTCATGTTGGTCGGTCCATCTTAACATGTTACTATTGGTTGTATAAGTTGAACCCATCTTTCTCATGTCAATAGGTTTAGATGTGTTATCCAAGAAAGATTTATTCTTGCAATATAATCCTCTGCCTGGTGCCTGATGACACCATTTATTGGGAATTGACCTTTAGTGGCTCCTGCTGAGCATATAATTCTGCGTCAAACAACTAACTCGCCGATATATACAGGGTGCATGGCTGCTTTGGACGCGGAGCACTATCTGCAGGAGGTGGGTGCACAGGAGGGCAAGTCTGATTGACTATCTCTTGGTGAAGCGACGACCATCAGCTCACCGAAAGCCGCACTCTGAGCTTGATGAAGTTGGTTGTCCAGTTTCATTATGCTGCTTAGCAGCACCGTATTATTATTCTCCGTCATTAGGAGGCCCTAGATCAACTTTCATTAGTGTGCTGGAAATGATTCATATTTACCACTGGTGGAACTCAAACTGATTCCTATGTATCATTGGCGAAATCACATTATTATTCTGAGATATCTATCTGTATTACTCCACCAGGTATGTATGCTATTATATTTTTCTACATGTTTGGAGCACCGCGTATTCTGAAAACATGTCTGGTTTTTTTTTTGACATTTCAAAAACATGTCTGGTCTTTGTTTTTTTAGGGAAATATCTGGTCTTTGTTTGCTCATGGTGCTGTATGTTTCTTCAGAACTAAAGGGTCCTCTCGGCCTAGTTTTATTTTACTAAATAAAGCCTAAGCCATAAACATCGTTAATTACTACTCCCTCCGTTCACAAATATAAGATGTTCTAACTTCTTTTCTGAATCGGATGTATATAGACATGTTTTAGTTTATTGAAGTATATCCAAAACATCTTATATTTGTGAATAGAGGGAGTAGGCAGTAACAGAGAAATATTTGGGGATGCCTTCTGATATCGGCTCATCCAAAAACGGCGCCTTCAAAGTACATAAGATAGATTATGGAAAACAAGTTCAAGGGTGGAAAGCATGGAGAATTTTGCAATCGTCCTCTTATCTTGCATGCACAAGTTGGTTCTCACCATTCTCAAGTGTGGAGAGCTATATTGGAGGGGAGGGATGTTTTAGTTAAAGACCTTATTTGTAGAATTGGTAATGAGTTATCCACTGAGATTTGGAACTACAATTGGTTGCCACTGAAAGAACTCACGCGACCAATTGTTTCTTTGGCAGCAGATCCCCCACATTTGGTCAGATCTTATTGATGGAACAAGCGTTGCATGGAAAATTGACGTTATGCAGGCTACTTACCTTCCAATTGATGCTCACCATATTTGTAGACTTTTGGTCGTGGAATTTTGAGCGGTCTGGAGTTTTGTTTCACTGCTCCGGTTATCACATGATCGTAAGCACCAAGTGGCGTCACAAAGATTGGCAGGAAGCCTGGAAGCGAGAACACGGTCTTCAAACGCTTCATATGATGGAGAAACTTGGAAATCACTTTGGAACACTTATGTCCCGGAAAAAATGAGATTCTTCCAGTGGCGCCTAGCTTTGCATTCTTTACCTACGAATGATGTGCGTCGGCATGGTAAAATGGCCAGTTCGGGTGCATGTTCTATATGTGGGGCTTAGGATTCGTGGAAACACTCTCTGGTGGAATGTAAATCATGGGTTCATGGTCAAAATAATAATTGACAAAGCAACCTACCTTTAAAGGGATCACCATGAATGGAGCACCTAAATCCATTAAACATGCATCTCTTGAATATGGACGTACACTTGGGCATGAAAGGAACAAAGCATGTGCATTCTCAACCAGCAAGATCTGGACGACTACACTCCAACACAAGAAGATCAGGG